GATTATAAAAAAGACAAACTCCGTTAGTTGTTAATAAGCATAAAATAAGCTAGTGAAGTAGTACCTGATGTAAATTAGTTATCATAGAAACCATTATATCTTTGACAACTTCCGACAAATTTACTATTTTAAATGTATGTACAGAGGATGGTACGTGATAAATATTTAATAAAAAGTTATATTCGACCACTTGATGTTATTATAGGAACATAGATCCCAAAGCTTAAGCGATATTTCGTCTTATATGATGTGTGACACGAGAAAAGTCAAGACATTTGTATTTGATAAAGGAAGCAATTAAATGAAGTTATATTGTAAATGATATATAATACGTATTTTTTTGTAATCTATCGTACGTTTTTATCTTATAATGCAAGATAAACTATTTTTAACATTTTGATAAAATGAAAAAATAAAACACTTACATCTTTCTAAATATGTAATTATTTCCTCAAATCATATTTGCATATAACAAACATACTCTAAAACTGTAAAAAAAGTAATTTGATATGTATCATATAGGGATGGTCGCTATACGTTTCCGTAAATTTTAGTGTTTTTTTTTCTTCTTCTTTATTTTTAGGCATAAATTTAAACGCTTGAAAAGATTAAAATATTATTAGCAAATTTCACGAGTACATGAAAAAGTAAACGGGGTAATTGTTCGTTCCTATGTATTGAATGATTGGAGACCTGAAATTATTTAATCGGTATATACATAAACATTAACCTTCAAAATAATTACATAATTGTAAAGTTTAATTTACATAGGGTATTGAACATGTTATATAAAGTTGTTAAGATCTTATTTCAAAACTCTTTTGTAAAAAAAATAGCTTTTTCGTAAACCTTTATTTATGAAATGCTGTGACACATGATCGGGATATGCATGTGACTTTGTGTACTGATATCTGTACCGGATATATAGCAGATAATTGTTTAAAGTAATGTTACTTCAAATTGAGATTTTTTAAATATTCTAAAGAAGAAGAAAGCGCGAGTAAAATCAAAACAATTTACATTTTTTTTTGTAAATTATAGTTAACATATTTACAAAAAAAGAAGAACAAAAACAACAACAAAAACGAAACAAAACAACAACAACAATCATGTTTTCATCAATTGAAGAACGGTTTTCTTTGTTGTTTCTTCTTATAACTTTGGAAAGGTTTAGAAAAACTATAGATTTGGAGTAATTGCAAAGTTCAAAAATTAGAAAAAGTTTGCTACTTGTGGGGTTTAAAACCCACGACTAAAACAAACTCTTTCAGAAAGGAAGACCAGCATTTTATGACAAGTTAGACCTTCCTAAATTGACCCAAAACGAAGCTTATTTGTATGATGTTTTAATATCTATTGGCTACTCCGTTACTATTCGTCCTGTGAGAATGAATGGGGGAACTTAATTCTTTGACTCAGTTTTAAAAAGTATGACATAGATAACATTGCACTGATATATTCCAATATTTCATCCAAAGATACCAAATACAAATTATTTCACGAGTATTGAAACATTTACTTTGACTTATTTTTGATTTCCGAAGTTTCGATCTTTACAAGCAATGTAAGAGTGATAGATTAATGACCTAATGATTTTGTATACTGATTGTTCTTTATATATATGCTTAGTATTGCTGCTTTATATAATGATTGTATCAAAGTTTCAGACTTTACTACTGAATACGTTTTGAACAGAGTTAAATCGTATACCAATATATACATTGTGCGTTAACTAGAGTGCAGGCATTAGTTACCCACACTCACTGTCTGTGCGGAAAATGCATTTTTCTGGGGTTTACTTTTTTGACGGCACAGATAGAGATAAGGGTAGAAAAGTCACATTCTGATGATCGTACATTCGGTACTTTGTCTGGGGTATAATATTGTAACGACAGGGAACGCGTTTTTATTTTGTCCTATGATACAAAAGAGAGAAAATATCAAAACATTCGGCAATCTGATTTCGTACAAATCAGGTAGCCTCGTGTTTCGAACCTCTTTCTATTACTTGTTGTAATATATCCCACCGCTGCCACCAATTTTGTAGCGTGTACCGAGCTGTTGATTATTTAATCGACATTCTTAAATGCAAATACATGTAATTTTTCTCGGGATATTTATCCTTATGATTGGAAAATAACTAACAAAAAACATCATTCATTGCAAAATAACAATCTTAATCTATTTCTAAAATCATTCAAAAATATATATTCCAAGACACAATTAATTTTTCTCAAAAACAATTCTCAAACAAGTACCAATCGAAAGCTAAACCTATCCTTCATTCCCCTACTTTTACATTTCAACAATCTCTTATCCTACATTCCTTTCTAAAGATACAATAATTCACACATTGAAGATTGATAACAAATTGTTCCTCAATAATCATTTGCCTTATAAATATATAACATCCTTAGTACCATATATCCTAGATTTCGGTGTACAAGTAACTATATATATAAGCTTTAACTTCAACCATAATATTTCTAATCAACCGTTGGCCCGAGAGGTCTTACTGAAACAAAAGAACATTTCAGTATCAGATATCTGAGATTCTGTGTACATGAAAATGCTACTATCATTACGATCCGACTCTTACAAGGACATAACCAAACATATTTCAAATATCTTTTTCCCTAAAATACTTAAACTAAACAATTACTCAGAGAGATTTGACAGATATAGTAAAACGTCCTTAGTGCCAGATATCTGCGATTTCTGTACACTATAGTCTGTCCCATTAAAAATGGAAATGAACTTTTGCCTGGTATGAATTAACAAAACGACGTTGAATAAAAAATAAAACTTTTTTGTTAACTAAAAAAAAGTCACCCTCGAGATTTTTCAGGATTTTACTCTGAAGTGTCTACTTTTCTTGTGAAAGCAAATTTTAATTTCTCTATGGTAAATCTCTGTTGTTTATTTTCGTAGCCATTGCCGAAGTACTCTTCATTTGAAGATTAACGGGAGAAAGCACGTGCCATGTTTCTAAAATATACATGAGGTTCTCGGGGTCGTTTCATAATTATTTTACAAAGCTGTAACAGTTTAGTTGCAATGCATGATGGAAAACTTTAAAAAATGAAAAATAAGCAACAAGAACACCGAGTCACATGGAGTAGACCTAGAAATTGCACTTACTTTTAAGCTGAATAGAATCCCTATTGTTTAATCATATTTTATTGCTATATACATGTATATACAATACAGATACAAATTTCATATGTATTTTAAACAGCAAAAGGAAACGGGTTGGGCCCAAGTTCTTACAACATTAGCGGTCGGCCCTCCCCGGTAGATAATGAAACGAAAAAACTATATTCAATACTTAATGGCATATAACATAAACATAGTGTATATCATGTATAATTGTTGATGGAATGCATCGTAAGAAACGATTTTTAACAATATACAATAAAGTAATCGAACAGATAGAAATCAACGTTCATGTATTTTATCAATTTATAGATATGGATGATCTTAGGATTCAGTATTACCTACCCCCACCCCACCCCTTAGTGTCACGGGTTTCGTTAAGGCTGTTATGTGCATTTACTTTATATTGGGTACAGTGTATTTGTAATTACTTCTTATATAATATGCTAAGTACATGATAAAGGTTTAATGTTTAGGTATAAGTGAATCTATTTGTATTTTTAATAAATTTATGGACAGCAGTAAATATAACTTCATTATCTTTCGATGCTAGGCTATCACTACCAAGTAACAGTAGATTTGTATTCAGTGGGTGGAACGTCCTAGTTTCTGTAAAGAGTGTTATTCTTTGCGTTTGATAACTCGGGCACTTAAAGAAAAAATGCTCAGCATTCTCAACTGCATTTCCGCAATGACATGTGGGATTTTCACTAAGATGATTTCTAACTACACCATTTAGGTCACTGCAATTGTTTCTTATACGTGAGTGTAAAACTGATAATAATCTGTCACCTATTAAAAAATGTTTAGGTACAATAGGAGCTTTGAACATTTCTTTCATTCTAGTTTTAAATATGTTTAGTGATTCCGCATTACGAATACTAGCATCAAGTGAATTCCAAAGTTCAGTTGCTGAAGGTAAGAAAGATCTATTTATTATACGTTTCAGTACGACGAGCTAATGTTGCATAATTGTTATTATTTCGAAGTGGATAGTTTGATGTTTCTGAAACGTAACAGTACTTGGGAAGAGATCTTCAAGATAATGAGGGACAAGGCCATTTTTTGCTTTGTAAATAGTGATTAACTTTTGAATTTTACGTCTGTCAGAAAGAGATACCCAGCCGACTTCTTTAATCAATGAATTTATCGATACATACCTAGTTAACCCAGTAACGACGCGCGCGGCTTCGTATTGCAATTGTTCAAGTGACTGCTTTTCTTTTAATGTACAACCGTCCCACACTACTGAGGCGTATTCCAAAATAGGACGCATGTAAGAGATGTATATTTTATTCATAGTAGATCGTTTAAGCTTGAATTTTAATGCACGCATTGTACTTAAAACTTTTGACGCTGATAACATTATTTTTTCGATATGTTCATGCCATTTGAGATCATGAGAAATTGTCAAGCCTAAATGTTTGTGATGATCAACAAAGTCAAGAAGATTGTTATCAAAGAATAAAATTGGCTTAGGATTTGTGTTTGAAGAGAAAAACATAACTTCAGTTTTATTGGGATTGAAACTCACAAGCCATTGATTAGACCATTCATTAATGATATTAAGGTCACGATTTAAAGTTGTTTCAATGAAGCCGATATTGTTTGAAGAAACAGCTAAAGAGCTGTCGTCTGCAAAAAGACGAGTAATAGAGAGTAAGTTTTCGGCAATATCATTGACGTAAATCAAAAACAATAGAGGCCCAAGGGCTGAGCCTTGAGGGACGCCTGCAGATATATTAAGGATGGAAGATAGCTCGAAGCCTATAAAGACCGATTGTTTCCTTTCAGAGAGATAATCAGTAACCCAACTGAGAAGCTGGTCTTTAATACCATATTGTTTTAGTTTAAAAAGCAGACCTTGATGCCATACCCTGTCGAATGCTTTTGATATATCACAAAAAATAATACAGGTCGATAGTTTTTTGTCATAGGATTCGCAAATTTGATGATAGATGTCTATTAATTGATAAACAGTTGAATGTCCAGGGAGAAAACCTGACTGTAAGGGATATATCAAATTGTTTGAATGTAGATGGTTGTATATATGTTTGAAGATTACTCGCTCCATCACTATGAACTTTATTAACGTCACGACAAATTCGCATTCTGAAGATTCCTTCATTGCCAGTTTCTATCCAGTTCCGTAGATACCACTTTTTTACTTCAAAAATTCTGAATGACATGAGTCATGACTCCTACACTTTTGATGATCCAGATTTTTTAAACTGATAATCCCATTATCCGTCTCATTATTAAAACATTGTCCAATTTGCGGAGTTATCTGGGTTAGCAAATGAAATATGTAAATGAAACATCATAATTCAGCATGTTCCAAATCCATAATTCAAGAACGGCCCATCAATATTAATTGTCAACATCACAATGCTTATGGATTCCTGACGAAAAAAACTTTATTACGTCAACAACAATTTACGAAATATATGACGTAACAAAAATGCCTCGCGCTTTTTATGGATGATTCCAGTTGCGGCATTGACAGAGGGCGGTTAGGCATATGTAACCTCAACCAGATAATTTTAAGCGTTGAGATTAATTTGTCCTGATGGCATTTAAAATAATTTTTGTATACCCAGATTTTGCAACTTAACTGTAAAAATTACACCTTCAATTCATATATTAATAATCTCAAACTTTTGATAACATTTAAAAATAATTTTAAACACACTTAATTTTTTGACATGAATCTACAACAGTACAATACTTCTTCCATTAATTACATATAACATTCGTTTTGATTGTATGTTTTTGAACTATGTTTTTATATTTCTCAGAAATAATTTCCCTACATATTAGCTCGTTATTCAAGACTTCTGTAAGTCCTACTCTTTTAGCTACAAAATATACAATACGCGGTATTTTTTCTCCCGCGAAAAATATGCTAGATCTATTGTTTTTTCACTGAATATTTTCAAATTTTATGAAGGCTAAAATTATTGAGAACGTCACTCAGTGTTTCTCTTTGACTCGATCTATCCTTCATATTGACAAAATAATTATATGTCACACTTTGAGTCACTTATTGTCGCTTATTGAACCTTACTCTTAATAATATCAAATCACCGCCGGTATTTCTGGACATTTTGTTGTATTGTGAGACGGAAAGTTAAATCTGTATTTACGAGCTTAAAGTATATAGGCCTACGTTTGATTGCTTAAACTAGAAAGTTCTTATAATTTACATTTTCCTCGAACGCAAGTCTGGGTTCTCTCGTTAGCGAGGGAGTTAGTTAAAGTAGACACTGTGGTAACAAGCAAACCAATGCTGAACGTATAGTGAATCAGTTTTCTTTATATTTTTTTTGTCAGATTTGCATGATAATGTAGTATTTGTTGGCGATTTCTTGTGAAAGTTGAAACCTACGGAAAGTTTTAGCGCACGAACATCGCACCCGAAATAACAAGGTTAACATATTTTTGTATCCCATCGAACCTGGTTACTAAACTTAATTTAATTATTTTTTTTTGAATAGACGTGATATACACTTATGGACAGAATTCAGACAACTACAGAATTATGTAAATAAAACATTAATTATTTTTATAGTCTTCTAGCTAGAGTTCCCGTTCCCCTACGACGCGTTGCGGTATTCAAGATACGCGCTTGATTGAAAAGCTATCTAATTAAATCACTTCATTGTTCTGTTTCTCTTAAAAAATATAAAATACGACAGTATATCATGGTAATTAATTAAATCTTTGTGTGTAAGAATTTATAAACCTTACTGATATTTTCACTTCAATGATTTTGATTATTTTAAATAATGGTTTGCTAGTAAAATTGCCTTTTAACTCCAACTTTCTTGTCATTTTTTATTTTAATGATCAATAACATTTAGCTATTGATCAGTAAGTGAATAGGAATAATATTTTTTTATAATTACCGAGTACATTTCACGCTAATTGTGAGACGAACCCTAAATGACGTCTATATGGGCGCAGCCATTTTGAAATAGACGTCACGTCAGGTTACAACGTAAGTCAACGGGAAAAATTATAATTTTAACATTTTGACCATATTACTGACTTTATGAAAAAAATGAAAAACATGCCTAGAGATATTGACGTCAGGGTAAACATGACACTAATTTAAATGGTTTTACTATTATATTAAATAAAAAATGGAATGTTCAAATTTGATGGGACAGACTATAGTATGTATTTACTACGTCGTTCCCTTTTACATGTTCTATATGTATACATCTTCAAACCAACTTAAAATACCCATTTCTCAAACTTTCTTCTATCGAAGAGGATTCACAGAAGCAGCAAGATATTTTTAGCACCAGTATCTAAGATGCCTGGGTACTAGTAAATATGAAACTGCTCTGATCTTCCCCACGGACGAAACCAAACTGACTCTTTTGCGCTGCGCTCGCTGTATTTATACTAGTGAGTGAACCATCTCCGCGGTAAATAAAAACAATGATTGTGATTGGCTTATAAAATAAAACGGTTCTTGATACTGATTCTAACAAAATCTTATAAGCGTCTGTTACTTAAAGTTATTTCTCTTATGAACTACTGTGAACAATAGATAACTTATTTTGAATATATAAACACATTGAAGGATACCCTAAAGTTATACAAATTTGAAGGTTAAAATGATTAAAATACCTACTCCTTATACCATGATAAATTTACAAATACATTATTATATTTTTCCAATACAAATGGCGAACTTATAGAAAGGGGAGGCAATAGAGTTACCCATCAAGTACGTTTCCGTCACATATGTATGTATGTACGTGCGTGCGTGCGTGCGTGCGTGTGTGTGTGTGTGTGTATGTATGTAAGTATATCCTGTTTGTATCATGTATGATGCACTGAGTGGATGGATTTGTTGAGATGAAATACGACCGCATTTGATCACATTGCATTGCCTGTCATGCGACCGGATTTATATGCAGTAATTATATGCAGACACATAAACTATCTACATCCCTGTTAAATGTAAGAATTGTTATATCTATTGTGTGATTTTTATATACTAAACGGACATCCTTGATAGTTATTAATAACCCAAACTTATCATACGTAATGTGATGAACATCCAGGTTGACTATATTGCAGTTCGTGAAGTAAGCGGTTTGTTAGAAAAAAAATCAATACATTTGTTACTATACATAGTAAAAAAATTGACTATGATTTCAACTGGTTACTAGCGTCACGTGACCGATTATTAGTTTGCGGTCTTGGGCTGATAACTCAGAATCATAATCGACCCGCTGAATACGAGTACGTGCACAAACTAAAACATTATTACGTGACAGTTTACATCATAAGCACGATTTGCTTGATTTTATGATAATCTTAAGCGTAATAAAAAAAACTATTAATAACAGTTATGGACAGTCTATATATCATCATGATTTACTATTGGCACGTTTAACGTCACTTACCTATTATACAGCAAATTTCTCTTTAACAAAATGCTTAACAAAAACTTTTATTATTTTGTTTTTGTGATTTTTAATAAAACTACTATTTTTCCGTGTTTGTCATCATTTGTTATAATGTCAATACATTTCTATACGCAAACATAGTTATGCATAGTTTGAGCGTTCATTTCCTTTAAGAATCTGTGACAAATAGCTTTCACATGAAAATGGAGTCTTAACAGTTTAGTTAGTCCTTAATTTAGGCACCTTTTAAAATGCCCATGTATTTGCATAATACTCGGAAATTTTCGATTTAACATAATCCATATCAATGGTTAATTTGTTACCAAAGTGGGTGGATAAGTTTAATCTAGACATAATGGTTTTCACTTCATTGCACCAGTTCTTCGCTACGCTTGAGTAATCGAAATCTGTGCCTGTGTTAAACACTCGTTTTGTAATATTTTCATCACTTAATTTAAGTAGTCTATTCCAATTTCGGATAATACAAATCTATTTTCTGTAGGTACACGTTATCAAACCTGTTTTTCCCAATTATTTTGGTGTAAATCTGTGAACGCCTAAGATGTAGCGAATCGCACGATTTTAAACATTGTCCGCCGCTTGAAAATGTTTGAAACCCTAAATGGAAACACAGTTATCCAAAATAGGGACAACACATGAATGATATAACTTTTCAAATGTTAAAATCAACAATATTAATGAAATAAAAATACCAAGAGCCCTTCAGGCAGTATTTAGGGGGTTTCGCAATTGTAGTTGAAGACGTGTTTTTCATGTAAAATAACACCAAGGTATATATTTGTCGACTGTTTCCAGATAATTAACGATAATTCACCGATTTTGAACTGCGATTAACTCGATTATCTGTTTATGAACCTTTTTCTGGCGAAAAAACCCTTCATTAAAATCACTGTCATTTTCACCATTTTAAAAGTTTTCAAAGTGACATTTCCTTTTTCAGACACTCGATTTTCGTCGGTAAAGATATCGTCATTTTCAACCTGTTCTATTGGTATATTTGTATTTTGACTAGGTCCTAATCTCCGAATTTTATCCTAACAGTCCATTAAACGTAGTTGAACATAAACCTTCTATTTCTAGGCAGACTGATTCACGATATTGGCGTTCTGTTCGTCTTATTGCTTTAAAAACAGATTCATTGCAGTAATATATTCCATTCGTAAAGCGTTACGAACTGATTTTACGTCTTTATATTTCAAGTATGTCCGTTCTTTCACATTCATATTGTTCCAAAGCTGTGACAAATGTTTATCCCAGAACGGTTTTTTGTTCTTGTATCGTTTGCCTGTGTGTTTCATGAACTGTATTTGGCATCATATTATTCATTTTCATTTAAGTATATCACAAATGTGTATTAAAGATATTAATACATGTCATAGACAGACCGGAAAGAGATAATCGGGCATTATTCATTTTTCAGGCCGATTATTACCTTCCGGCCTTACTTTGCCGTGTATCAATCTGTTAGTAATATAACCAACAATGGCATGCCTATTTGACGCATATTACGGCGAAATATTAACGTCTTCATATATCATTCGTAATTGTACAGGATACAAACAAATTCATTATACTTCCGAGTTAGTAATTATCGTTACATTTACAATCCCTGGGAAGAGAGTGGAAGATGTAGCGGAGAGTATAAAATATAAATGGATAGTTAATTACATTTATCACATATCGCTTAACAAGACAAGCATTATCTTTTAGTGCTTTACTAAAATATTTAGCTGAACATTGCTTTTTCAATATCAGCTATTTGCAGCATGTCTTAAACAATTTTTAAATGTATTCATATCGAGGAAAGTTTTTAAAGGAAATCGCAAACGCTTGGTATCACCATCTATCTGTCCGTCCGTCCGTCCGTCCGTCCATCCATCCATCCATCCATCCATCTATCAAAGCACCAGTGCACCATTTTCATTTATCTATCAAAGCACCAGTACACCATTTTCAAGCAATCAATGTCACGTTCATTTAATTTCTGTTAATTCTGAATCATTTAAATCTTTTAGGCATGTAATTCGCTTGTCGACAACTATTTGTAGGTTCATTGAAAAGTGCCTAATAACTTGTTAACCGTTTTTGTATTGCGTTTGCTGCAGAGGATTGGCTAATTGATCAAGATAAACTATTCTTGATAAAATAATTGGTAGTACATGTATAATTCAAGGACATATGGATTTTGAATAGATAATAAATCGTGTTTGGGCGAATTATTTCCAGCCTTAGCGGTGTTCTTGTTTCATTTAAAGCTAGCTATATTCTTTACATTTGCACGGCATTTAACCGTTACAACATATAAGCGATATTACAAGATTTTGATTTCAAAGTTTTGAGTCCCTGCAAGTTTTTCTGTATTTTTACGAATGACATATTCCTTTTATGTATTTTGTTCATTTTCTTGAAGATATATTGTCTGTATTTCAGCTTGCAGCAGTGATGCAGACTGTCCCTGGGGAAACAACTTTACTTGTAACAGTGCAAGAGAATGCGAGTGTCCATCTAGTTATGTCCTAGTTAACAATGCCCGTTGTTTTTACAGTAGGTACCTCAGCTAATCATCCTTTCGGTCAAATATTTAATTGAGTAGAGTGTTAAATTTCACTTCACTGTTTCAGGGCATAATTAAATTTTCGATCGGTTGTTGGGGTAGGGATGGTCAAAAGTTGGAGAATATAGAATTATATTGATTAACACTGTTTTCAATTGAAAAATTTCTAATTTTCTAAGAACATTCATGACATTTGAATCATATCGATTTAATTATACTTACTTAGTTTTGAAAATCACATCTCATGTTTGATATGATGTCTTATTAAACTTTACTAAATTTGCAGCATGAACATATTACCATATTACCTATTCAAATTGTGAAAAAAAGTATCAATAAAAATTACTCGGCCATAGTATACTTGCTTTTACGTTTTTTATTTGGTGTCATTCGGTGTTTTGATGCACATGAGTTTCTTGGATCGTGAACGCTATTGATGGTCTCGTTAAAATCAACAAGACATAAAAATACTTAATAAATGTAATTTATAGAGCAGCAAATTCTTGTGTCAAATAGGCTTTTTACTAGGACATAAGTGAAATTTTAAAAACAGTATAAAATGATAAAGAATGTTTAATGATAGAAAGCAAGGTTCATAGATCTCAAATATCGTAGACATTTTACGTTGAAAGTTTGTTTTCCACACTACTTACAATTATCTAAGAGTGTAGACATGAATATCTTTTACGTTATTTTAATAATTTCAGAGTGACAATGAGATTCCATGGCTTCATTTTCTACTTTTAAATGACCGATATAAATCCAATTGATATTCAGTTCTCAGTGTAACTTTTACAGAAAGTCAAATAATTCTCAGACAAATAGATAAATAAATAAATAAATAAATAAATAAATAAAAAACATAAATTCAGAAAGAACGGTTGCAAATGGGAAATTACATAGGACTTAAAAAGCGAGACCTAAACCGGGGTTTCAATGAAAATGGGGATTTCCAAACTATCCCACATTATATAGAGAATATTCAAGTGTTGTTTTTTAAAATTTAGATAAGTACAGGATTTATTTTTATATCGAGTAGTATGAAAATAAATATTTCAAAATAAATCCTGTATTTATATATTTTCTTAAACTTTCTGTTTATTATATTATACATGTACGAGGGATGTTCGAATTGTATTGCTTATTTCTATCTGGAGACTTCAAATTTCAAGTTAGCTCAAAAGTGTTCATTTCATGCCCTCGAAGTACTCCCCATGGCTAGAAATGCAAAGTTTCAGCCGATGTATCCACTTCCTGAAGGCGTCACGGTACGCTGATTTGGGCACAGTAATAAGGTACTGATAACTGGCAGATCCAAGTGCCTGCGGGACTTGTATTTCCGCCTAGCAAGGAAGGATTTCAATTTCGGAAACAAAAAAGAAATAACAGGGGGCAAGGTCTGGAGAATACGAGGGGTGAGGCAAAACAGTTACTTAAACGCCGAAACTATAGCGGAAGTATGAGAGGGGACATTGTCATGTAGAAGACGGATATGCTTAAAATCAGTGACAGTGCGTTGTACTGTGTACCTCATAATAAAAAAACAGCATTGGCACGATTTCACACTGTGTTCCTCACAGGAAATGCAGCATTTATATGGTTGTACTGTATGTCACAATAGGGACTACGCTGGGATACCAGGCCGACCACAATTGCTATCTAAAACAACCAACAACTCAGAACAGAAAAATATATACAAATTTATTTACAAGAAATGAATATTTATGAATGAAAAATGATTATATATGAAAAGTCACTGCGCAAACAAACACTATCAACGTATCTCAGTCTATTTCTCCCGTAAAGTTTCTGTCATGATGTTTCAATAAAGTGGTGGCGTTGTTGAACAAAATTCGTCACAATGGCGGGCGTCTTGTATAAAATCTTATCAAGCGTAACTGTACTTCCTACAGTGTTGGCACAGTTGATAGGATCCTGAACTAGGGCATGCGTCACCCTTTAGCCATGGACATACGTGTGGAGGGCCCGTGTCATCTTCGGGTGCGTCCTCAATTAAGAAGCTACAAAGTATAAACATGATAAGTTCCATGATAATCGAACATAAGGGTATAATAAAGTCCCTTGGAAAAGAATCGACCTTTGTCGGTTTCCAATAAAATAACGTGCTTCTTTGAATAAACAAAATGTCCACTATAGTACACCATACATTCCGTGGAACAAAAATTCAATCACATCCGCATAATACTGCGTTGCAAATATATTCAAATATACGCCACATAATAACCACCAATAAATAAACGTCTTCCAAAATCATGCCACTGAAGATCCTTCTCTAGAGATACGTTAGTTTTGATACGTTGAATTTACTTATAACAAAAACTGATGATAAATGAAATGAAGTAAGATGATAACGTAAATTAAATTGATACTGCAGCATTTTACATAAGGTTACACAAATACGGTAGAACCATAATAAATTATTTATGAATAAAATATTCATAGCTCCTATACAATTACAATATAATTAAAACTTCAATTAACATACATCAATTAACATGTCTCGGTATAAATTTACAATAGCGAAACACTAGAATAAAAAGAGCTTTTAAAATTTAATCTGCAAAAATTTAGAAAATTTAGAAAACAATAAATTACTGCCAAATAACTAAACCTGAATCAAATAAACTATAATTCTAATAGAAAATAGTATTTTACGAAATAGCAAAAATTTATGAAACAAAATCACTAGCAATTTAAATTTACCTTGTACAAGCTGTAATTTTATGACAAATATAATTTGTCTGTCACCGTCATAGTGACCTGTATAACGTCCAGTGCATTGCAATATATCACTTAAAATTTAGTCATTATATAGCAAACTACTGAGTACTGAGCGGGAAAACAGATCGTGCAAAACATGAAAAATCGATTTGCACGAAATAAAGCTTTGACGGCAGGAAAAATAGTTATGTAAAATAAAGGCCCGTCCTTCAAATACAGACATAATACATATATCTGGTTCATAAAACAAAAATGTAACTTTCTTATTACTGAAAGGATTTTTGTGAAATAAACGGCAAAATGTTTAAATTGAGACATGAAAAATTATGCAAACCATAAAAATACTCTAAATAATAATTTCACCCGAAAACTCTAAATTGGACAAAAGATGATGCAATCTCACATCAATGAATATAGAGTAAAAATGAGGTTCGGCGTGAAAATATAATGCAATATTTTACAAACGTACTTTCACTTTGTGACATTTACGCCCCCCTTTAAATAAGAAAATTGATAAATTTTCTTTAAATACAACAAAGTGAAAACGACAAATTGCAAAAATGTAAGTAGAAATACTGTACACCATATTCATAACCACCATTAATACTACACTACACTCTACATTATACCCTGCTTAAATAATCTGCACCTATGTTCTCTCTACCTGGGATTGCTCTAATCCTCATCCTGTATGGCTGCAAAAGCAAAGGCCATCTCATTATTCTAGAGTTACTTAACTTTGCCTTGTTAAGATACAAAAGCGGCTGGTGATCTGTCTCTAGAATAAATTCCTTACCAAACAAGTATCTGTGAAATTTAGAAATTGCCCAAACAATACCAAGGCACTCCTTCTCTATTACAGAATACTTCTGTTCTCTTGGTAACATCTTTCTACTGGCATAAGCTACTGGGAATTTCTCCTCACCTTGTTCTTGCAGTAATACAGATCCTAATCCACAATCAGAAGCAATCAACTCTGAGAATAAATATCTTGTCTAAATCTGGTAATTTCAAAATGGGCGGACCGGTCAAACTTGCCTTAAGAGTCTGAAAAGCCTTTTCCTGACTTTCACCCCATTCAATACGATTTGGTTGAAACTTTTTTGTCAAATCGGTCAACGGAACAGCAATGGCGGCAAAGTTAGGGATGAACTTCCGGTACCAAGACACAACCCCTAAAAATTGCCGGACTCCTCGCTTAGTCGTGTGTCTCTCGGTCTTCTGAATTGCCTTGACCTTACTGAGAACAGGTTCAATGGACTTACTACCTCCTATCATATGACCTAAACATTCCAATTTTTCAAAACATATGAAACACTTGGACGGTCTAGCAGTAAGCCTAGACTCTCTTAATTTAGTAAATAACTCATATAATGCATTGATATGCTCTGGCAATGTGACTGTATAGACCAAAATATCATCTATAAAACTATCTGAGTGATCTAGATCTTTCAAAACCTTTCTCATCAGTCTACAGAACGTTGCAGGGGCATTGACTAAACCAAAGGGCATTTTCCGGAATTGAAAAAGTCCCGACGGGGTTTCAAATGCGGTCAAAGGTTTTGCATTGTCAGACAAAGGAACTTGCCAGTATCCTTTACTAAGGTCAATTTTCGAAAAATACCTGTATTTTGATAATTTCGAAAATATCTGTTCCATATTGGGCATCGGTTCCGCATCAAATACCGTGCATTTATTGATCTGTCTAAAATCAATACAGAACCTAATCGTGTTATCCTTTTTCCTGATAAGGACAATTGGACTAGAAAACGGTGCATTAGAAGGTTCGATAACTCCCAACTCTAGCATTTGATCAACTTCTTCCTTTACTATCTGCTGTGAGTGAAAAGGAATAGCATAACCCTTAGTCCTTACAGGTTCTGACGTAGTCAACTTAATGTCATGCTGAACTAATGACGTATTTCCGGGTATATCTGTTAAAAAATCTGAAAATTTCTTTAACAAGGTTGCAATCTGAGTCTTACAATCTGTTTGTAAGTCAGGATTGACCTGAACATCTTTATATGTCTCTGAACCTTTCTTCAATGGACATAACAATATGTCGCTATCATCTTGGTAACTTGTTTCTAAACTATCGTCTTCCTCTAATCTATCATACCCATTTTCCGCTTCTACAACAGCTGCACTTACCTTTGCCAATGCACCTCGTTCTGGTTCGAAATTTCTTTCAACATACTTCTTCAGCATATTGGCATGGAAAGTTTTGATCTTATTGTTACCTATGTCT